ATATATATATATATATATATATATATATATATTGTTTCAACTTATATTTTAAATGTATTTTGACTGCTCTCAACGCTACAACCAGTTTCTATAACTGAACTGTCGACTAGTTGTTACCCATCCGGATGCTTCATCGGACATCGTAAATTTATAGACAGTTATCACCTGTGATTTGACCGTCGAGGTTGTAGCTAGCAACTACAGGTGGGTGTGTCAATCCGTATAGATTTATACACAACTCTCCCGCCCACATAAGATTTAACAGTTATATGTCAGGGTCTGCTAAGTATTACACTTAGTGTGATGACATGTCTCATGTAATGTAACACCTGAGGGAAAAGAGCCACCAACCGTTGTTAGGAATTAACATAGAATAGTGAATATAATAATACAAGGATGTAGTACTATATTATATTAACCAATATTTTTGATTCCATCCTTACGAAATAAGATTATTTCGACTAATATGCTCAAAAATAAGTGCACGAAAAGTTGCGTCATCATGAAAGCAGGTTAATGCATTCAGAATGTCCGTATTAGCATGATTTCAAAAATGGAAACTTTGTAAATACCCGGCCTAATATGGAGGAAATATGAGTTTTATAATACATAAAGATCAACCGCACATAAAAAGTTACAAAGTCAAAATCTACGAATAGAATGATTGACTTTTGCTGAAGTCAGCAAAAAGATAATCGTAGTACTTTTAACAATAGGAATTTTGAGACAAGAAATGCCAAAAATAGAACTTGTACGAGAGAGTTATTATTTTTGCAAAATCATCACGGTCATAAAATGTAAACTAAAAAGAAAGTTATGAGTAGGCAAAATGACCAAAAGGAAAGTTGTAGTACATGTCAATACCTACGCGTGAATATAAGAAACACTAAAAACAGAGCTCGTATACAGAAGTTACGGAATTTATAAAGCTAATTTACGTCACGTGCGCACAACCATGCGCCACGTGCGACACACGTCTTGAAACCCAATTCTTAAATAATTTGGATGACATGGCCCACAAAAAAGTGTCACGTGTCAAGCTCTGGATGGCTACAACCTTAACGGTCGAGTCATGGCAGTCATAAATTCTAAACTTTGGCGACGTCTGATGAAGCGTCGATTTGGGGAAAAGCAACGTCATAGCTCAATTATAGGAAGTAATTGTAACATTGTTTATCCTTAACTAAAGAAACTACTTCTGAAGGGACACCTCGAAGAAGTAGTAATAACATACACATACTCACCTATGTGAGTCCAAGATATCGATAGTATTCATAAAACTATAAATACTATAAAGAAGTAGGAGACACACGTACATAAACAACAAATGAAAGCTAGGAAGATATATCCCTAATGACTGTAGCAACCAAGTTCCAGTTATCCATACGAATACCCATAAGACATAATAAGATATTATAAACAAATCCAAAAGGAGGAGAAATACAGGATTAAGGAGATATAATCTCATATTCATAAACAAAGATGCTACTCAAAAGACACCAAGTATTTTAAAATTATCAAAAATATGTGAACTCACCAACATTATGTTGACATTTTAAAACCTACATGTATTCCTAGAAAGCAGAAAGAGATAAAATATTTCATTCCCTACACTAGCGGTTCACTGATGGAACTACTTGAAGCCTATTGTGACCCCTACCTATCAAGATATACAATTATGTTAGAAGTTTAGTACTTTCATAAACATTTTACCATGTAATTTATATACTTTAAAATGGAAGTGATATTTATGTCACATATTGTTTTGTACTTTTTAGTGTATTTTCAATGATTAAATTCTAACATCGTGTCGTCCGGAGATTTTCGCTGCCGATCGGGGGGTGTGACATGTATAAGTATTATATATATATATATATATATATATATATATATATTTATATATATATATATATATATATATATATATATATATTTATTTATATATAAAAATAATAATAATAATAATAATAATAATAAAAACAACAACTTCATAAGTAATGTGGATAGAGTAACAACAGTTCATAATTCTTATCCCTAATTATGTGAATAAGTAACAATAGTGCATAACCAATATCCATGTTATGTGAGCAGAGTGACGACAGAGTAATTTATTAGTTTATATAGAAGCGATATTTTAACGATAGTTTTATATATATATATATATATATATATATATATATATATATATATATATATATATATCTATATATATATATATATATATATATTGATATAGGATAAATAGCACTTTAAGCATGTATTCTCCCCCGAAAACCGCAAAAGGTTTTTAAAATTGGGCCATGAACTCACTTTTCAAACGTGCTTTTAAAACAATGCATTTTTTTAAAAAACATTGGATTGCGTCAGAAATCAAACGGGCAACACTTCATCTTCTTTTGGTCGAAAAGTGGTTGGATCAAAAGTGGGTGGTTGCTGGAATGTTTCTGCCGGAAAAGGTCCTTCGTTGTTGGAAAGTCGCCAAAAATTCGTCGCTGGCATGATCGGCGTTGGAAAAAGGCTGCCACTGAAGCTTCTTCTAGAGCCTGGAGAGTGGCTGGAGATCGGTAGGTGGTAGGGGGTCGATGCTCGAGTAGATCGACAATAGCAGCGGCGGTGTACGATGGTTAGCAGCGACGGTGGTTCGTAGTTCGTCGACCGGAAAACCAAAGAGGTGGAGAGGGTGATTTTTAGAGGGAAGGAGAGGTGAGCTAATGAAAATGGAGCTACCCATGCGTTCTATTTATATCATTTCTTGGGTGATGTATGCGAACAAGGACACGCTGTGTGGTGCGTTCTCGTGTCGGGTGTCCTGACTCCCGATTCCAAATTTTCGCGAATTTTCCGAGTTTACAGGATTGAGCTATTCGATTCTACCATCCGTAAAGCATAAAAATATTCAACTGACAAATTTCGGAACAAAGTGAACGAGTCGTCTGAAAGTACGATAATGGTGGATTCATGTTCGCTGAGATTCGACTATATTCGTGAAAGTGTTAGTTTTTCGTGAAACGGAAAAGTTAGCAATCAAATCAAATACTAGACCTTTTCCTGATTAATAAAATATTTATAACTCTTTCTACTGAGTCCTATAGTTGTGCGAATGAATTGCTTGTAAGTTTGTTGACGATAAATTTGGTATTGCACTGCCTCGATCTTATCTACAGCAGTGTCAGGGTTTTTCGGGCAAAATGAGTTAGTTCTAGAATCAAATACTAGATTGAATGATGATTAAGGGAAAATTGTTTAAAACTCCAAATTCATTGTTTAACATGTCAAACGAAGCATTTAAAGTTTTATTTTTACGATAACAGGGTGCAGGTTGTCGTTCAACTGTCCGTTTTCTTCGAGCGGGCGAAACTTTTGCATACAAACTCCGTTTTCGACATTTTAAATATCTATGGATTCATATTTACGTGTACTTTCTATATAATGTATAATCTATGCATAATAATACTTAATACATAAATCTATTTCAATCATATTTATCAAATCATTACTTATGTATGGTGAAAAATGTTTATTCATCCATGTTTTACACAAACAAATGATTTAAATGATATTCCAGATGTATTTAAAGTCTAATACTATATTTGCATAAAAAATGGGTGGAATATTACATATTATGTCTGTTACATTGGTGTTCAAAATGTTTGTGGTTGACGATCGTTGACATAATTCTTACGGTTGTCACACACTTGGTCTTCATGTAGAATTATATTACCATCAACAAATAACAACATTAGTTTTTCTAATCATTTACAGATTCATCAACATCAAATGTTAGACCAGTGTCCACAAAAACTTTACTTTTATACCTAAAATCATCCTTTTTTACAGGCCCCTTAGAAATCGATTAATATCACTTTACATAATATAATTAACATCAAACAATTGTACCGTGTTAGGAGACATATTTCGGAATGAACATAAATATTTCAAACGCGTTATTCCGAAGTCTGTTACTTTTAATTTTTTTTAAAAATGGTCAAGTTTTTCAAATACTTCATACATAATGGTTAATTTAATTAATGAGAAATCAAATATTCGTCTAGTTTTTGTTCCTAAATATCTTCGTACTCACAAGATTAAAACAAATATCAAAATGAAAAGATAATAATAATAATTAAGAGGTATAATTAATGAGTTTTACATGTTTTATTTCATATGAGATGAGAGATTTAATTTTTCTTAATTAATTTTCCTAAAAGTAAAGTTTCAAACATGATTTGCTTAATAGTTTCGAACATTTTACCAAGAGATATTTCTTTTGATGCAATAGATAATGAAAGATATATATATTTTGATAATTTAAGAAAATTGTTTTGATAACAAAAGATATTTATTTTAATGGAATAGATAATGGAAGATGTATATATTATGATAATTTAAAAAAGATAGTTTTGATTGTATGGATAAGCATCCAAGATTCCTTCTTAACCGTACAACTCACCTCGATAGCAATCATTGACCTTGCTGTGAGATTTTCATGTTTTTTACAGTTTATATCATATTTATTTTCTCATGAACAAATACATTCGAAGTTATTTAAAAATATATATTATTTTGCTGTGACATTTTTATATATCTTTATACTGTATATCATATTTATTTTCTAATTATTAAGTTTATTTGAAGATGCTTATATATATATATATATATATATATATATATATATATATAATATATATATATATATATATATATATATATATGAATAGTATTAAATGAGAACACCTAAAAGGTTGAGAACGCGAGAACAGATCTGAATCATCTAATTTTTAAGCTGTGTGGCTATAATTAATTGTTATTTTTCTAATTATTAATACATTTAAAATTTAAATTTCAAATTAAAGAAAATTAGGGTATTCAGGTAAATAAACATTACCCTAATTTTGTAAACTCCTATAATTACTCTCTGCCTCTCTATTCCGTTGACCTAATTTCATACAGCATACAATCGACACCTTCATCACACAGCCGAATCACACAGCCGATCCCAACTACTTCCGTTTTCCTTTTCCCTTGCTCGACAGATGAACCATCCACATCGAACAATGATGGTTCCTGATTTCACCCCAAATGTCGATTTTTTGTTGTTTGCTCCTTCCCCCATTTGTGCGCTGCTGATGACGACGATTATGCCACAAGGGTCGCCAGAGAATCGACGCCCTTCCTTCCCCTCTTCCCTCTGTCTCTTCAACCTCTTCGAACCCCGGAGACGATCGCAATTGGACACAACATCCTGAATATCGGACAGCACACCTGCGATGCGAGGAAGGGAATAGAGACGAGCGAGAGAAAGGGAGTGACGGGAAGGAAGCCTTCATTCCACCTTGGGCTACGATGAACTCAACAGTACCGATTCACTCTTGATGTCGCTGTATTCGATCGACAAGGAAGGAAAAAAGGATCATGAAGGGGGTGCGTGATTGGCGATGCAAGAAGAGGGGGAAATTTTGACAGGATTTCGTATGAAATTGAAGCTATAAATCAACAATTGGTAAGTTTTGATTCTTCCTTCTATTGTGTTCGTAGGTCAAATTCTAGCAATCGGATATCCTTCACTACAGTGGTGAATAAATTCAATCAACATAGTCAGTTGTGTTCGTTATAATCACTTATGATTATAAAAATGGTTGTACATATGATTAAAAGACGCTGATAATAATCATTTATGATTATAACAACATTTGTTTTTCTACTAATCATTCATTTTAGATATTGTGCCTGCTCCTGCTCGTTACACAAGCTCGCGAGCCATTTGATTCAAAGAGAAGGAAGGGGTTGTGACAAATTCAAGAAAATGGCTGATATAGGGATGAATTTTGCAATTTTTTTTTCATTTGAAGTGGTTTAATCACTGTTGAATATAATTATGTATAAATGTATCAAACTAGTCTTGGGACATTCTTTTATGAATATAAATATATAAATGCATAAACTCAATCTTTGAAAATTTTATTTTATGAATATAATTTTTAATGTGTTGATTTTTTTTATTTGCTAGCATATTCATGTATGATTAGTACTTTATTTTTATTCATTTATAAATGTTATCTCTAAATTATGTTTTATTAATTAGCATTACAAACATATATTTTTATAATTACAAATGTGTTATTCAAATGATGTTATGAATCAAATATGATGAATTGATGAATAATAAATTAGAAAAAAAGGAATTTTTATTTGACAAAAAAAAATAATATAAACATTCTTTATCATCCATTAATAAAAGAAATAAAAAAAATCGGTTCATATTTTATTTTAGGTAGATAATCATTATCACTAAATTTTAGGAAATTAAGATTTGAATTTAATTTGATTTAATTTAAAACAAATAAACAATTACTAATATAACATTATAATATGATTGGTCCAGAAGTGTTCTTGCGTTCTCAATCTTTTAGGTGTTCTCATTTGATCATTTCCCTATATATATATATATATATATATATATATATATATATTATATATATATATATATATATTAATTATGCATTATAATTATGAATGTTTTTTAAAATCAATTTTTTAAAATGTTTTAAAGTTTTTAGTTAATTAATTTTTTGTTTTAAAAGGCTAACTAACTTATGTTTTTTATGTAATTATATCCTATCTCAGGTTGAATATGTCATTTTTTTAATTTTAGATTTTTAACGCAAATTTTAAATTTTATTATAAATTCAGTCTGAAATTTTTTTTCTTACGTATTCATCCCAAATTTAACCTTTTTACAGATATATTTTTCTATAATTTTTAAAGATATTTTTGAAATGGTTTTTAAGATTCTTTTAAACTTTTTTCCAATTTTTTAATAATTGCTTTTACAATATTTTATTAACTTTTTCTAATTTTTGTATTGCCTTATGTATATTAGCAAACGAATTTTAAATATTGATTGTGCGACACTTATATTGATGAATAACAAATATGATATAACATATGAGGAAATAATAAAATAACAATTAAACATAAAATATTTTAATTGATATTTGTTATTTCATCAAATCCAACTAATGCAAAATCAGTAATAAATATTGGTTTGCTAATGTATACCAGGGAATAAAAAAGATGAAAAAAAAATTATAATGTCAAAGATTTTTTTAATTGGAAAATAAGTTAAGAATAAAATCTTATATACCGTTATAAAAATATTAAAAAGTCATAGAAAAACGAATTTATAAAAACGAATCTAAATTTGAAGCTAATTCATAACAAAATTTTAAATTCAAACCAAATTTCTAGTAAAATTTAATATTTGGGCCAAAATGTAAAATTTAAAAGAGGGATGACTTATTCAACATGAGATAGCATGTAACCATATATAGAACATGAGTTGGTTACTATTTTAAAACACAAAATTTATTACTTTGCGACTTTAAAACATTCTGAAAAAATTGTTTCCAAAGAACAATGACAACCATACTTATTAAGGGATATATATATATATATATATATATATATATATATTATATATATATATGAAACATAAAATGTTACTATTTGCAAAGATTATACAATTCAAAGTTGACGTATTAACTAAGTTCTTTCATTAACTAAAGCCTTAAAGTCACACTGGCGCTATAGAACCTTGTTCTTCTAAGTGATTAGATGTGATTCCAATTTAGTATTTGAATATTGGAACAATATAAGCAACATATATTTGAATTACTTGATATATTGGATATGATCTTTTCAATTAATAATCGTTGTCTTCTATATTAGCATGGTTAATCGTTGAATAACCTCATTATTCTAGATGTCCATAGTCTTTCATAGTCGTGGGAGCGTCTATGAAATAAGACTAATATGAACGTAATGGTTGATTTTGGTGGATATGAAAATAGCAAAGGGATGTGACTAAATCCAAAGGTACTTGATAGGATAATAAGTATTGGACATGACCCGTATCAAGATCACTTCATGGATCATAGTAATGAGTGATGTTTGATAAATGTAGTGTCTTTGTATTCTTCGACCTGAGATACATATTTGGGACTTGACTGTAGGAATTGTTGTGCTTTTACATGGTTTAAAGATGTTCCAGTTAAAAGACAAATATAAGGCCATCATTGGGCAAAACATGAACTACATGATAGTTGCACGTAGTCAATATGAGATTTGTTCCTCTTATTTGTTGAGAGTTAAACATCTAAGGCCTTGCTTAAAGTTCAACACGAAAATGATATTGATTGTGATTCATGTCTCATCGTTCAACATGATGTTATGTGACAAAGGAATAATTGATACCAAACATTATAACTAGTTTTAGCTTTGAGCTCTTGGAAATTGGTAGTTTCTAGATGGCACTACTTCGTGTGTTGTTGGGGGGGGGGGGGGGGGGGAAATTAGTCTGTTGCTAGACATCAACCAATGTTTAAGTCAATCTACAATGAATCTGTGGAAGTAGGAGATTGTTGGAGCTATATGATCCAGAATCATTTTAGAATGATGTTTGTCAATAACATGTCATCCTATAAGGTCACTCCTTTAGCAAATTTACACATACTGAATATTTAATATTAATATATGATTATTAACAAATAGAATCAACTCTCTTATTTAATTACGAAAAATTTATTAGTTTTTGAAAATTGTGTTTCTAGAGGTTATAACTAGTTACTATATCATATTGTTGATGGGTTTTGAGCATTCTAACACTCCTAAGTGTACATGCAACCCTAAATACCTTGGATCTATGTTTTCTCTATTATACATGCAAATATGATTATCCAAGGTATTATCCTAACTAGCATACCAAAACATTGATACTAGGATACTAAAATAGATAGAATACATACCTTGTTGTTGTTGCTTGACTCCATGAAGCTTGAGAGCCTAGTGCCCCAAGTGTGACACCTCAAATGGTTCACACAACATCATGAACTCTTGGAATAACCATGAGAAGAAGACATACATGTTCAAATCGGCTAGCCCTCAAAATATGTATCACTAGTGCCCCATTTCTTGAACTAAAGGGGTTCTTATATAGTGTGGCTATTAGGGTTACACCATGTAACTCATGACTTTTTCCATTCCTTATGCTCCATGGGTTTTAACCTCCATGGAGTATCCATGGATCACCACATGGGTTAAACCCAACATAAAGGAATCTTGGATCATAAGCCCACATATATAAGAATGAATGATTTACACAGTCAATCCCCATATATTTAATTAGTCTCTTTTTGATCACTAAATTAAGTCCAAATTAATTCTTGATCAATACTAATTAAATAACATGATTTAATATTAATATATTAGAACTTATAATATATTAATATGTCACAAAATGTCTTTTCCTCATAAACGGTCTATCCAAATGTTCCGATGTCATGCAACCCAAATGGACCATGCCGAGTCGGGTCAAGTACATACCAATTATAGTTATGGACTTAGACACTAATCCAACAGTCTCCCACTTGGATAAGTCTAAAACTATTATTGCGTATGACTTCAGGAACCAACTGGCAATCGTAGCTCTCAAAAGCCGTTGTCGAACTCTGACCTTGTAGATGAACTCTGACCTTTGTCAATGACTTGTCCATTAGATAAGGGATCATATATTCCTCCATTCTAGATATTATATGGACTGAGACATGGATTATAATCATTCTCTCTGTCCATTTGTTGTTTCCCGATTTCCGATTTATGACGACTGACTAATTGAACAAATCAAATCAGTCCTGGCTCGGCCGAGCACTTCCATTTGTCATCATCAAATCATCGAGGGGCCCACAGATATCGCTTTTATCCCGAAGGTAAAAGGAATGGATAAACTTCGACTCATATGGCTTGTTCTACTACTTGTTGAATCATACACAAAGGCACGTTTTATAACACCGAGTTACCGAATGCGTTTTCGTGCAATCAATGTACAACCAACTCATAGTAACAACTCATATCTCTAGGTTTGAAGAATATAAGATATTATCGTCTCATGATCACTCGTGATAAAATCCATGAAGTGATTCCAATGAGCGCGGGTTGAATCCAATACTCAGAACTTATGAGCACTCATGAGTGTTGTAGCCCCTTGTCCAACATCTTAGACCTCTACAAGCCAACCCATGACAGTCTTGATTCATATCTACTTCCAACATATGACCGACTGTGGATAGTTTGAATAACTTAGTCAATCAGGAAGAACGACCTAGTTATTCTGGAAGTCAAAACATGCAAAATGAAACACAATAATAATAGAATCTAATATGGTATCAAAACCTATGAACATAAATAAAACACCTTTTATTTATCACCATATGATTACACATTATTCATTGTATACTGTTTCAGCTATCAACTTTATTCTTGAATTTAAAAC